TTGTACTGCGTCTGGGACTCATACACCACGGTTTCACGCAACACGGTATTTTATGGGAACCTATCTACCGTGTTATAGGAGGGTTACCTGTATTTAATATAGTATATTTAGTCCTTAATTTTCTGGAAACAATAGAAAATGGACTTGCACCACTTCCAAAATAAACTGTCTATATATGAAAATCCGAGCTCCCATAGTTAAAGTGCCATTAGACGATTAATCAGTTAACCATAAGCGAGTCACCAAGAGCGTGTGTAGAGAGGAAGTACTATTATTAGTATAATAGTCGTGTGGAATAAGAAGATAATTGATCCAAACAATGCGGAATCGTGAAAAATCAGGGCTCACCCACTAAGTACCCCCAAAATTCCGCCCAAACTCCCATGCACACCCTCGAGCCCAAGAAACGCCCCGAGATCCGAAAAACAACGTCTACACCCACCGCCAATTATCATCCCCCAGTGGCAAATATCCTCTATCCGACACGATCTACCAGCGAGATTACATTCAACTGCGATTCTCCAATAAATAATGCACCGTTCGATTGCTGCGAGCACCCCAGGAGGAAGGCAGCCGCGGCAGGGGTGGTCGGAGCCGCGTAGGCATGTATCATCGCATAGCGACGGTGGTCGAGCGTGAAAACGCGGTCTTATCTACGTGAGACTAGCACGAAGGGTGAACGACGCGTATCGTGGCGCGCGTATTACAAATAAATGACGTGCCCGGGAACGACGCCGGCGTGGCCGGATCGAGAGAATCGCGGGGGTGAAGTCGTTTCGCGCGTGACTCAGTGCCGCGGTCACGCCACCCTCGAAAACATCGCGCCACTTCGATGCCCGATATTCCAACTTTCTTTCTCCCTTTCACCGACAACCCCGTCTGCTCCACGAGCTACGTTTCCCCTTGCCGTTTCGCTATCTGCCAAGGCGTACGGGGGTCGCGTGGGATTGGAAATACCCTCGCGCGTACGGCATGCATTATAGATCCTCTCGGTTCGGGCTCAGATTAGAGAAGGTGGAGGCGGTGGGCGTACGGCGCTGCAAAAATAGTCCTCGCTCGGAAAGGCAATAGCTTTTACACCGCGAACTCGATGGCTATACCCCACCGCCTGTGGGGGCGCGTGCGACGCGTGTATGTGTGTGTGTTTCGTTTACGGCGTGTGAATACCTCGCGCATGTGAATATTTTTCATATATGTATACCTCGCTCATATGAATATTTCTCATATATGTATAACTCGCGTGTGTGAATATTTCGCGTATGTGAATATTTCGCGTGTATGTATACCTCGCCTGTGTGAATATTTCACGAGTGTATGTATACCTAGCGTGTGTGAATATTCCTCATATATGTATACCTCGCGTATGTGAATATTCCTCATATATGTATACGTTGTGTGTGTGAATGTTTCGCGTATATATATACCTCGCGTGTGTGAATATTTCGCGTGTATGTGTACCTCGCCTGTGTGAATATTTCACGAGTGTATGCATACCTAGCGTGTGTGAATATTCCTCATATATGTATACCTAGCGTGTGTGAATATTCCTCATATATGTATACCTCGCGTATGTGTATATTCCTCATATATGTATACCTCGTGTGTGTGAATGTTTCGCGTATATATATATACCTCGCGTGATAATATTTCGCGTGTGTGAATATTTCGCGTGTATGCATATTTCGCGTGTGTGAATATCGCGCGCGTGTGAATACCTCGTAAGCATGTTTCTTACGATTGCGGATGTTGCGTACGCGTATGTTTCGCGTTTGTATGTACAAGGTGTGTACATGTTTCGCGTGTGCAAATGTGTGGACAGGGTAGAAGAGAGTATTTCAAGCGGACGCGTCTATGGAGGACGGCCACTCCTCCGGTCGGGCCTCTACGAATTTTAATGCGCGTGCCAAGAAAAAGTTGCCGGAGCCGCTGATCCCTTCGCGACAACAATCGACGATAAATAAGCCTGCTCGTCCGGGGGAAGATAGAAGATGTGGCTCGCAATTATTCGAAGGTGTGCCGAGGGGGTTGAAGAGGCAGGCCACGCGTTTCCTCTCGCGAAAAGCGTGGGGAATGATTCGGGTGGCTCCCGTCGAAACGGACGTCCGATGGGAGATTGCGGACGCCGTTAACTTTGTTCGGATAAACGAAGGAGGTAGAAATAATCCTGGGGTACCAACCGATGACGTGACGTTTCAAGATGGCCTACTTTCGCGATTTTCTCGACCGAAATAGTGGCTACGCGTGTCACGGTTGCCGGTATTTTATGCTATAAATTTTCAACGGAATAATATGTATGTATATTTGATACAGGCCAGTCGGAGGTCTCCCTTTTCCTTTCTTCTATCTTTCGCGTGTGTCACGTGTGCGTATGTAAAACATCCGAGGAATCCCGGCTGTGCCGGGGAAAAAATATGCCCGCTCGAAGTTCGCTCGCGAATCTATTCCGCGGGAGAGTAATACGCGACCACGTTGGTCAAACATTCATGGCGACCAAGGACAGGCATAGTTCGATCGGTCGTCTTAAAATAAAACCCGTAGTCACTGCGAGAACCTCGCGGTAAGAATAACTCACGCTCGATTAACATAAGTCTGATAATAAACCGCTTACGTAACCATTTCAACCCCTAACCCCGAGACGTTCGAGTCTGATTACCCCGCGATAGTAATTAATCGAGGAAAAAGATACGTTCCCACTGCGGAACGACAAAACGCTTCATCCGGCTATTCCGTTCCGCTAATTACATCGTTAAAATTATTAAACCCAGCCGGTTTTTGCGTTTCCGCGCCGACAACGAGCCATTGTCTCGCGCGATGACGATATCACTCCCCGTCTTCGGCGTCGTTCGCAATAATCTAAACGACAATAGTAAATAGCCTCATCTGCAATTACAATGGGCCACTTAGCGCGCTATAAATTACAAAGTGGCGCGCTCGCGTCGCTCGAATTACGGGAATCATTCTTTCCGAGCAACTCGGGATAAGAAAACTTTCTTTCCTCATCTCCGTCCAATTCCGGCCGGCCGTATTCCGGAAGTTGCCGCAAAGGGGACAACCAGAATTGGTGGCTATTTAATTAGCGGCTCCCCGAAAGGCGACGAGTTTCCGCTATCCCTCCTTCACCGCACCCTCCAACCCCTTTCGGCGGCCATCGCTCGTTCTTTATACCAGCAACGTAGGAGAACTGTAGCGGGAATTGCGATTCGTCGCCGGGACGAATAATAACGCGAGACGTGCCCGATAATTAGTTCCCGATGATGAGGGGCAATAGAGATACCGGGTGGTCCGTCAGGAATAGAACGCCACGATAGGAGCAAGCGTTTAAGGGAAGAGTTTAATGGTCCCGTAAGTCGGATGAAATACGGGAATAATCTTATTTGTGAATTTCCAGGAAATGCAATCGTGAAAGTCTCCTTTGTTTTGCTTCCACGATCCACGACTTCCAGCATCAGTGGATTATTATTGACGAAATTTCACGAGCAGAGAGCTACCGGTGACGATCAATTTCCTGGCACATTTTCACGAATTAATATCTCCTCGATTTGTTATTAAAAATTCGCTAACTTCATTTTTTGAATTGTTTAAAATTTCAGATTGAAATACCAAGCTCTTTGTGCTTCGTTCTTCGTGTTTAAAATAAAATTCTATCCTTCATTTTTATGCGATTAAATAATTTACCGAATAAGCGATTACATTATACGACTATGTAAATTTATGATACGAAATTGTAGCGATTGCACGATTTTTAAAAATGAATTTAAAAATTTGCGAAATTTCGAAATAAATTTTGGAAAAATCGCGATATCGGTAACGCGTAATTTGTAATTTATCGATTCACCAATATTGGTAAATTATACTGCAGCAGGGGATGAATGAAATACAAAGGTAGATGAACGAGATTGTATTAATGCGTTATACGAAGCTTTGGATGTATCGCGATCTATGAAGGGGAGCAGAGCGCAAAAGGGTACCGGAAATTCAAAACTGAAACTCCGGCGACCGGCCGTTTATTTCTTAAATTAATCCCGGCTTAAAGCCGGATTTTCTTCGCGATATCGATCGTCCTTTGCAATCGTGTCGCTCGTCGCACGGTCCGTCGAATAAATCGTTCCTCGTTCAGGACGCTGATAAATATGTATCGTAAATCCATACACAGAGGGGAAGAAAGAGAGGGAAAGAGGGACAGAGACGGAAGAACGACAGAGAAAGAGCGAGGGAGGGAGTAAAATTCTATATGGCGCACCAGGCCAGTCGGTTTTTCGGTGTATGAGGCCACGGTGTTTTATAAAGTATAATTTCACTGCATACACCGAAAGGGCGCGCTCGCCTGTACACAATGTACGCCGTTATGTCACACACGCGACCGTTTTAACTTTCAAACGCGATCCTAATATCAGATATCGGGGAAATCGATAACCATCCCGCCGCTTTCGACTCCATTAATTGCTCGTAAATGTTGGAAATTGATTTTTTAAAACTCTCTACCCCGGGTACGTGTACGGCTGTGTGCGTCAGGCTGTTCGCGTACGGGCATATGCGACGCCCTGCCAGCCGAATACGAACCTTAATAAACGTTCGGTCGTAAAACTTTTTACAATTATGAGAAAACACGGGAATTCGACCAGTTATGGCCGAAATTTCGATTACCAACGCATTTTTAGCAGTCTCGAAAGCATGGAATGCCCGAGATTAAGAAATAAAAAAGGAATAAGGCGTACGATTTTATTTTCGATTGAACGGTAACGAATTATCGCGAACGGTCACGTGACCGTTATGTGACGTCGACATTTTGAAGGTTCTCGTCGTGCGAACGTATACGACGCATTTGCGATCTATTACGACGTATTACGACGTATTTGTCGTAACCATCGTCGAAAGACTTAGAAATGTTCGGAGTGACTCACGAATGACGTTTCTTCGTCAAATTTATAATTCTACGCGATAATAATACGTGCTTCGTGTGTATTTCGAAATATGTGATGAAATAGTGTTAATAAACTCACCGGTTTCGTCGCGTCCCGTCGACGACGCAGTCAGCCTCGACTTCGATGTGTGGCTGGTTCTCTTTGGCTCAGAGCAGATTTTCGCTTGGACAAGTAAAACTTCGCGTTTTCTTTGAATAAATCTTCGATTTGGCACAGTTTAAAGTATTTTCACGGCACACCGGCGTTTCGTTTGTCGCGCTTAATTGCGTCACGTCACAGCACGCCGCGGAAAGGAACGGGAAACGAAGGCGATGCTGCCATCTGCAGGCGGCGCGGCGTAGTTCTTGGCGGGAAAGATCAAGCGCGATACGATCGCCAATAGAAAAGGTAACTACAACGCACGAATGTATAAATTAATTATTTTAATTAATTAGAAGGTTAATGGCCAATGTAATTGCATAAAAGGGGTAATTGCTCGTGGTATTTACATCGGTTTAACCAGACAGCGTAGAATTTCCACAAAATTAGATTTTATTTATTCCTTTTTTTACAAGAACACGAGTCTTTATTACGTATCTGTAGTATGTATAAAAATTAATTTACATCATGCTCGTTAGGGAGAAACAATGAGAAAGGATATTAAGCTCGAGTTATAGTTCATTCCACCGGTAACAGGAATGCGGAATCGTGGTGAACTTCCTTGCGTAAGCGTCGTTATAACTTCAAATAACAACAGAGACAAGAGGAAAGGGAGATATTAATATTACAAAAATTAACAAATTATATAGCTCTTACAGCTGAAATTCCCTGCTGGAAATGTTCAGCGTTTCCACGCTTCTCGCGTACGAAAATAACTAGAATCGTGCAGCTAATCCTGACAGAGTAACATATAGCACCTGAACTTCGGGAACCACCGTAGCCGCAAAATTTCACCATGTTAAAAGCTCTCTAAACCTCGACGAACCGACACATTCACCGGAAGCGGAAACGCCGTGCAGCCCCGCGATATTCCTCGCAGACGATCGACGAGATCGTTCGTCGTGGCGTTAATTTTGCGACGACGGTCGTTCGCAACAAGAGAAAAAGGAATGCTTTATATATACCATCGTTAAAATACAAACAGCATAGAAGACTTGAGAACAAAGCACGCGCATCCATGGAAACGAGAGATCTCGCGTTTCACGCCGATCTCGTTCGTCGATCGCGTTCGCCGATCGATCCGAGGGAATCGTCGAACGGAAACGATCGTGTGCATAATTTATATACACAAAAGCACCTCGCGTAACGAAGTCTCGGCTCGTTCCAGGCTGTCCGAATTGCTCGAACGCGCAAAACGAAACGCGATTCCCGAGATTGAATTAAAACGAACCGAGATAATTGGGATTAATGCTTCGAGTCGAGGCGAGAAAGTTTGATTAATTCGGTTGGAGCGCGGCGGGCGATCTCCAGAGCTGGTTAACTTATAATTGCCAACTTTCTCGCGGAAACACGGACGACACGGTGGTTGTCGCGGAAAAATCGGCGAGTTAAATAAGGATCCTATTAAACAGAGCTTATCCCTCGGCTAAGTATTATACTCGTTATATCTTTTCCTCGCGATGCGCAGCGTGAAGAGTTAGAGACGTATCATCCTCGACGATTATCCTCGAACAATAGACTATCGTTATAATGAACTACGAAGAACGTGGAGGTAGCGCGTCAGATCGGAATCGTTCTTGCATTTTGGTGGCCATTCGTCGAGGTTCCACGCAGGATCGTGTCAAGAACCAGTTGTACTTTCCTCCCCGTTTGCCTGGCTACCATCGCGAACACCACCTTTCGATAATCGTCAGCTCGATTAACTCTTGTTAGTCGACGAGTAATTTACTGGCAAGTAGAGGCTAACCTCACGGATTAGTTCTTACGCGTCACTCGGGATTCCCAAAAGGTTCCTAGTGAAAAGGAGAAAAGGAAGTAAAAAGGAACACGATGGTAAATAAGAGAACTTGCAGCACCTTTAGTCTAGAATCACGTGAGCCAATCTCCAACGATGCACGCGATGTTTCTTCGTATCCATGTCGAATCGTCAGCAAAGTCGTTAAATGTATATACTTATACGTATAAAAAACACGAAATCGTAGTCGACGTTGCTAGTTCCTCTTGCTGGAGTTGATCAGATACTTGCAGCAATGGGTGAGCAGGTGCTTTTCACCGGTGATATCATGCGGCACGCTTGTGGGACTGGTCGACTCCCTGGTGTAAATATCCAGTCCATACTGGCCTTCTTCGGGAAAGCTGATCGAGAAAGTCACCACGTCGTCGTCGGCGATCGAGTGTGTGACGTATTTGGAGAGCCGTTTTTCCTCGATGCCATTTTTGTGCAGCGTCGCCATGAAGTCGGTCAGCGGTCTAGACATTCGGAATTGAATTTCCAGCTCGCGACCAGCGAACACCAGTGCCTCCTGATACATGGCGAGAAAACGAACGTTCTTACCAGTCGAGTATACCTGGGATAAAAGCAGGTAATTTAAGAATAGCTTACGCGTCGTACCTGATGGGTTATCGGTATGAGACCAAAGAGCCTGGTGGCTTTCGTGGGACCCCATTCGCCGCTGGCGCAGTCTGGTAGTGGTACCATGACTGTTTGCAATTCCTCGCAGGCAATTTTGAACTTGCACACGCTCTTGAACTTCATAGGCTCCCCGGTTAAGTATTCCTTAGGCGTCACCGCGTTGGCGAATATGTCCAACAGGAAAGCTCCCGAGCAGGGCGCGTGCACGCGGAATGCCACGATATTCCCAACGACGGACTATAAGCATAAATTTTCGAATAAACTCCGGGATATCGGTATCTGGGAGAGACTCTTGGAAGGTCCTCAAAGCTCTCGAAGCAGGTTTATTCAAACGATATTATACGAATACAAATAGTTCGTTTCAAGGATGTTGAGAGGCTAGTCGTACGAGTTGTTCAAACAGCTAGTTAGAGCCAGGTTGAAAATCAATATTGGAAAATGTTAACATGCTGGAAAACACGGTGACTCGAGATATTTGAGCAGACCTGTACCTTCGAGCCCTTCGCGGAATTCCTACCGGTCGATTAATTTCACTTGGCGGCCAATTAATTAGCCGGCGACTCTTAAACTCTCATTAAGGGTCTCTTCCTTTAATTACACTTCTCTAATTAGTTTATACGAATGCGGCTGGCGGATAATTAGCCCGCAGAGCCGTGAAAAAATTTCGTTCCCCGTTCTAGCCTCGCTGAAATGCGCCGAGTTACCTGCATGACGAAACGTTTCAGCGACACGCCGTCGTAACCGTCGCCGTCGTTATCGTAGAACTTGAGGTTATAGTGAAAGATGAGGGACGACTGCATGTGCGCCGGCATGGCTATCCTGACGGTCGCTGCGCCCGTAGAATCCGTGTACATAACGGCGTTCGTGTTCGTATCAGGGAAGTAGAGGCCGTACCTGCCGAATTTACATATACTCCGTGTATCTCTTCTTCGCGACAAGCCAGCGTGTATACGGGACAAATTAACTCGACAAATATCGGGACACTTTCGCGTGTCGCACGTATACCACGTTCCTCGATGAAATATTTGTCCGGCAGGAAGTTCCCTTACCTGAAGAACAACGAGCGCACGAAAGGCAGTTCCTCGAAGTCTTTGAGCGAAATCGGTTGTTTGAGCAATTGCCACTCCTCCTGAAGAGGAAAGAATTCGTAGATGAACTCCCGCGGGTCTGTCAGGAAGTAATGATCGTCGTATTCGTATCTACGGAGAAGAGATTGCGATTAGACAAACAGGTTTAACAGTTGTTGGAAGTTTGATCAAGTACAGATAAAAGATGACTCTGGGTTTACCTCAGACTGTCGTTCTTGGCTTTTGGTTGACCAGGACGAGGAACTTCTTTGGCATTGACCAGATGTCTTGCTCCCCAATTGCACTGAACGAATCTCCACGCACCGGCTACGTACACCGCGTTCCAACTGTTCCGGAATCGGTTGTCCTCGAAGCAAACGCCAGGCTGATAGCCAGCCGACTTGCTGTAGCCCTTTATGACCACGCAGTGCAGCCCCGCGTAACTGCAAAAATTCATACGATGTACAATTCGTTTAATCCTCGAAGCTAGACCATAGGGTTCCCTTCTTCAGACTGTTCCAGACGTCATGCCCATCTCGGTCGGGCCCCATTCGTAGGATTTCGAGGCGCGACTATCCTCACGGATGAATTATTATTTTGGGCGTGTCGTGAGAGCAGCCTGAAGTCATCGATAAGTTAAATCGCTCGCGTTTACCTGCACAGTCGCTTGAACAGAACGTGGTAACTCTCTGTCCCGTGTTTTATGCCTCTCAGCAAGCCCATAGGCGTGTCCCCGCGCAGATTCTCGTCGAACTGCATAGTATTTAGATTCTTCACGGTGATCCATCGGAATATCGTCCTAGCTTTTTCTATATCCGATCCGCATCTGCTCACCAACTGCCGTACCAGGTCTGTGAACGTTTTCTGGTCTTCCTGGGCCACCTGATTTATTAATAGAAAAGAAACAATATAGACCGTGCTCCACAATGCGCCCAATAATACCCGATAATCCATCAACGTCTCTCGTTGGAAGAGACTGAGAGTTGCCGAACGTAATTTGATCGGAAAAATCGAATCCCCGTTACCCAATTCTCAACAACGATTGCGCATCATTCACTCGTTCGCCGGAACTGGTACAACGCCCTCTTTGGCTGTTCTATCCCGCTAATGGCGTCGTTCAACGTATCATAACGAATAGCCTCTACACGACACCGGTGTCATAGGCGATCACCATTCCCGTGCTATCCTTCGAGTGAGAGAAAGGTCGTAAATCGATTAGGCGAAGTCTCCGTGTATAGAGATAGACCGGATAAAAGGAGCCCCGTCGCGAATATATGAAAATATCGTGGCCGATTCGTGGCGGCCGTTTAAAATTCCAGGGCTGTAACACCCCCTTCGACTGCGCCTCCTCGATGTTACATTTACAAGGGGATAGCGGCAGGGCTAAAAAGGGGGCCGCCGGTACGACGGGGGCTTACCGAAATAGCTATCTGATCCATGTCAGCAAACTCCAGAGGATCATTGTAGATGTGATACTTGGCGAGGGCCGGGGGTTGCGGGGGTGGAGCACGCGACGGATAAGGCAAAGGCGGCGCTTCCTGGGCATAACCGTCCCCCTCGTCCAGATACAGGCTCTCCTGCCGCATATACTCGCTCCTTGCCTCGTTGATCAGCTCCAGCATCTCGCAGCTCTGTTTCTCCACCAGAGCTGCGGTTGCCGCCCTGCAAATTCATCGAGAGTTACGAGACAGCTGGAACGCGAATCGCCAGGGGTCAACTGCTCGCTCGAAATCCGAAATAAAGAAGCTTCGATTTGCTTTCGGAGATAGATAGAGCAACGATAGCTCCTGCGGCGCGTCAAAATCTCGTCAAAAATGGGGGAAATCCCGCGAGAAGTTTGAATTTCTAATGGGATACTTTTCGACGACGTTTCCAAAGCAACGTTTCCTCGGAGAAAATGGAAAATTGCGTAAGAAATGGATAAATGCCAGTGCAACCGATTTCAGTGCACAGAGTGCACACTCGGTTGCCTTCGTTATGCCCCTATCTACTTTCCACAGTCTGAATCCCATTGCGTAAAAAATACATACCTGTCACCGTGTTAGGAAAGTCATTGTTGCAAGAATGTCGGACACCACGGGTATAAAAATGGATAGCTTTCCCTGCCGCCGGAAAAGCAAACAAACGCGAAGTCAAAGGGATTAATCGCGGGTCAGCTGACGCAAGAGCTGCCCCCTCGGCTCTCGCAATACGGGTAATCAGAGCAGTGCGGTATGGAATCAGTTTAATTAGGTAATAAGTACCGTTCGTGCTCCAACATTTTGCGCGTGAGACTTTCCTTCTTCTTGTCCCTACGAAGAGTCATGTTCTTCTCCAGGTCCTCCTTCTCCTGCT